AAAAATAAATTATTTTGCTTTCTCTAAATGGTAATTGTTAAATTTTTTCTAACTTTTTATTAAGGAATATAAAAAAAAATCTTGTTACTAATTTGTTCCACATTAAAATTGATTCAACTTAAATATTCTAACAACTGTAGCCATTTTAACGTCATAATTATTGTAGAAATTGAAAAGAATTTTCGGTACTTTTGGGTTGTCTGTTGCCAATCATAAAAATAAATGTGTTTTTTGTGGGTTATCTGTTGCAACCTTTTACATATTGCTTATTAAGTTAAATGTAGCATTCAAAATTTTTTCAATTGTTTTTTCCTTTTTTTTTAAGTATATTTTATTTTTACACATCTGTATTTGTAAAAAAAGTTGGAAAATTAATTTAAAAAGTTTTAAAAGTACTGAATTTTCTTTTAATTTTAAACTAAAAGACCCTCATTTTATTTTATTCAGCATAGACGGAAATTGCAAGCTAAACATGGAGGAGCTACCATAGCGCAATAGTAAGCAAGCAAACTCATCACATAAGCCACTGTTGTTGGTATAGTGATTTCGATCCTCATTGGGACCCGCGACTAAAACTTAAGATTAGATTTTTTGAGGTACAAATTCTGGGGAAGTTGTAAGCAATTTTTTTTTTTAAAGATTTCAACTTTCTTTTGCTATATTTATTTTCCTTTCTTCTTTTTATGCATGTTGGATCATGATGATCTAAGTGAAGGATATGTGGTTTTTGTAATTATTACTTTTAATCATGATAAACTTTATTACTTTTAATTTAAAAAAAAAAAAAAAGAAAAAAAAAAATGAATAACAAAAAAACAAATCAACTTAAATGCAAATGTGAAATGGAAAGGAAAGTTCTTTGCAGGATATGTGATGTTGCATTAGAAATTAAAAAATAGTGTTAAAAACTAAAACTAAGATAGGGATATTCATTTGAATAATAATAATAATAATAATAGTAATGGAAAATGACTAAAAATCCATTTCAGAATCTCATTAATTCGCATCTTTTTCAGTTAAAAAATAAATTATTTTGCTTTCTCTAATAGTAATTTTTATTTTTTTTCTAACTTTTTATTAAGGAATATAAAAAAAAAATAATTTGTTCCCCATTAAAATTAACTTGACTTAAGACATCTAACAACTGTACCCCTTTTAACATCATAATTATCGTAAAAATTGAAAAGGATTTTCGATACTATTGGGTTACCTGCTGCCATTTGTGAAAATATGTTTCTTGTGGGTTATCTGTCGGTAGCTTTTAATTTACGTATTGGTGATCTTTTATCATAATAGATGTGGTATTTAAAATGTTTTTAAATTAATTGTTTTTTTCTTTCAGACTGCTAAACAATCTTTGGTATAGTATGTTTTTTTTACATGTCTGTATTTGTGAAATAGTTGAAAAATTAATTTTAAAAATGGCGACAGATGACCAACAAGTACCAAAAAAAATTTGTAAAGTTTAACAAATGTACCAGCAAAAAAAAATGTAAATGTTGGGTCAAAAGGTCGCTTTGTTTTTTTTTTTCTCTTGACATCGCCATTATTGTACACACCCTTGTTTATGTCGCTACATTTGTTAAATTTTGCTATATTTTTATTTAAATAAATAATCGTGTTAGTCTTGTTGTATATACTCAAGAATATAAATGCATATATCCAGCTCTTTACACCTTACTTTAGTAAATTTATAGCAGGGGATAGCAAACAGATAATGTCCAAAATATACTGTTTTTCAAAATTTATAATTATTTATTCATCGTTAAATTAACGTGTTAAATCCTTTGTTTCCAATCATTTTTAGAAATTTACAAATAAAACAAAAAGTTTTTATAGTTATTTTTTTTATATGGTAAATAATAAATATCCCTTCATGACTGATCCACATATTTTTATATTCTTGTAAATATCTAATATTTATTTAATATTAATATTTAATAGTAAAAGAAAATGCTTAGTTATTTTCTTGTCAATTCTCAAGATATATACAAGTTAAATTTAAAAGCAGACAACCTTAAGGATCCAAAGATTATATATAAATGGTGTTCCAATAACTTTGACCGATTTTAAATGTAAATTAAGTTTAAGTGTCTAATGATTTTTACTTTTTCTTTCAGATTTAACAACTTAAGTCTTTGGCAATTCCAACCATAGAAAGATTAACAAGCAAATGTGTTAACGTTATCAAAGCCTATTACGAAAATGGACGTTCAAACAGAAATGCATTTTGCACACCTCACGATTATTTTTGGTCAACATAATCGACCAACTGAGAAGTGCAATAGCCGGTTAAGGCAGTGGAGAACTTGGAGAGGGGAATTAACAGGAGATAACTGATAACTGACATCCATTAAACATGGCACATGAAACTAGAACAGTTTACTCCAGTGAGCGAAATAAAGGGTCCAGTTTGACATTCCAACCATCTGAAGAAGGCCGGAGTGTACCACGGCTGAAAGATGGCAACAAAGATGAGGACAATAGTCTGAATAATGTAAATAGTGTACATAATACCTCATCTCAGAAATATAGACATTATTATAGATTACTTGCAATTGCATGCATAAGTCCCAGTATAAATAGTTATAAATAATTATTGACTGATTTTATCATTGTGATATTTTTACATTTTATCAAATAAATGGTGTTCCCATAACGAAGACTGATTTTAAATGTGAATTAAGTTTAAGCGTCTAATGATTTTTACTTTTTCTTTCAGATTTAACAACTTAAGTCTTTGGCAATTTCAACCAGGGAAAGATTAACAATCAAACAATGTGTTAAATTTTAGAGTGCAATTGGAAAAACTGTTCGTAAATTCAAACACACTCGATCGACAGCAGATCTGAAAACACCATTGCGTCCTTGTTTATGCAGTTCAACTGAAAACATTGCTACAGTGCACAAAAATATGGCCGAAAATCCAGACACCTCTATTCGTCATTGCAGGCAGGAATTGAATTTCTCCACAACATTACATTGTTTCCAATTGCACTCTCAGTTAGTCAATTATGTTGACCAAAACACTCGCAAAATGCATTCCTGTTTAAATGTCCATTTTTGTCATAGGCTTCGATAACTTTAACACATCATTTGATTGTTAATCTTTCCATGATTGAAATTGTTAAAGACTTAATTTGTTAAATTTGAAAGAAAAATAAAAAATCATTAGACACAAACTTAGAATGTCTTAAAATAATTGTCGGACTTTGTCTATTTCATGTGTGACGTCATTTGTTTACATTTGGATATGCTTTGAGCAGAGATATGAATGTACATGAGAGATTCATTGAAGATTGTAGTTTAAAGGCAGTAAAATCGACCTTGCTAACCGAACAATCCTCTGTGGCTCAATCGGTTAAGGCACATCAGGCTATATGACGGTTCCGTATAGGATACAGGTTTGATTCCTGTTGGAGGATGAATATTTTCTATGAAAATTTCTCAGACGTTCAGGCCGATAAATGTTATTAATACTGTTTATTATAAACAGAGCATTTACTTAAATATTTGTATATATAAAAAGAATGTATAAACATAAAAATGTCTTAAAATAAACTTAATTCACATTTAAAATCCGTTAATTGGAACAAGGGTATTCCAATAACTTGGACCAATTTTAAATGTGAATTAAGATTAAGCATCTAATGATTTTTTTCTTTTTTTTTTCAGATTAGGCGGACATTTGGGCAATATAATTTTTCACACATAATTGCCATGACTTAAATAACATGATCTAATGGAAAAATAAATAAATTTTCACACCGATTTATTTACTGCTAACTTTGATCCGTCTTAATGAAACACCCTTTATATATAAATCTAGTTTCATTTTTTTTTTTTTTAATCATTTCAACCTAAGCAAAACAATAAAGCCATAAAGATGCAAGAGATTACTGAGTGTTAGAAAATACGAGAAAAACTACAGAGAGAGGACAATAAAAGAATAAGAATTAAAACAGTAGATAACAATTGACATTGCATTTAAATTTTTGAAGATCCACAAGCGAGAAGTGCAATAGAAGAAACTCTTAGCATAGAACTTACGGTTACATTTCAGCATTTCAATTTTAAGATGACGAAACCTTGCTGCCAATCTAGTACTGCACTTAAATTTATAAAGTCTAGGTATCATACCAGAACAGTCATCAGAATAATTACCATGAAAGTATTTGTAGAAAAGGTCCTGGGAAGCTACATTATGATGGTGGGAAAGTGACTAAAGATAAGACACAAAGTCAGGAACAAGAATACTGCTGATTCTTCTTTAGATTTTATCAAGAATCTCTAAATATACAGCAGGAACACCAGACCAGATGTGGCATCAATATTCAAAGCAAGGACAAATGGTAGATTTATAAATATGCAAGATAGATTCTGATGAGAAAATTTGTCTAGCAAGATAATATATTTATCGAAAATATTTAAGTTGTTTGGAAAATAATGTTTGATTTTAGAATAAACCTCAATAAAAGAAAGACAGAAGATAACAATTGACATTGTGTTTAAATTTTTGAAGATCAAAGTTGCCTGGGGAAGTAAGAAGTTGGAATAGAGTTCCACAAGCGGCAAGTGCAAGAGAAGTAACAGTTAGCAAAGAACTTACATCTAACCATTTCAACTGTTAAATGATGAAACCTTGTCGCCAATCTATAAGGCTGTGGGTGTAATACAGTGAGAAAGAAACTGTTAGCATAGAAATTACGGTTACTTCTAGCCATTTCAACAGTAAAATGACGAGGCCTTGCTGCCAATCTATAAGGCCGTGGATGTAATACCACGAGGGAGAAGATACTGTTAGCATAGAACTTACGTTTACATCTATAACAATGTGGATGTAATATACTGTAAGTGCAGTGTCAAAAGAAAAACTGTCCTTGACAGACCTTTTTTTTTTTTTTAGACACATTTGTTAAACTTTGCCAAAATGTTAATCTGGCTCCCTGCTCCACACGGGAGTCTACACATGAGCAAAAAAAATAACCATACTGCGTTCCCTACATGTGACCCACCAACCCAATAACTAACACCCTACACTTGACTGAAAGGTAAAAACACTTACCGTTCAAGTGGTGATAGTTGCCAGGTAGGTGAGCCTCATGCTGATGGGTAACAACACACACAGTCCCGTCTTGATCTTGCACTAACAGCTGTTCATTGCCAATCGTTCTAGGCAGGGCTTCAGGGTTTGCAGTGAAAGAACACCACTCATCATTGATCTCTACATCAGTGTTGGTCGCAGCCTTTGATGGATCTCTAATTTGATCTGCTGTTAATTCAGCCAATGGTAAGAGATCTTCATTCATCCACCTCTGGCTGCTACTTTCAATTGTCCGTGTGCTGACAGATACACCCTCGTCCTGGCTATGTTCAAAGCCATCTGTTAAAGAGGAGACTGCAGCCCTGCAGAACCTGAGGTTGGACTTCTGGCTGGGTTTCAATTCTTCCGTTTGAGCAATTTGGACGGTAGCTTTTTCAAATGCCTCTGATTTATCGACAAGACATTCTTTGTTGGCATAGAACTCTGAAGGCCGGGCAGGGCATTCCGTCAGTGTCTCAGCATCGGACATGTACAATGTGAAACGTTCGTCATCAACATCAGAAAGGTCATTGATTTTGGAACTGCCGGCGATACCATCACTTTTTAAATCGTCTTTCTTCGGCTCATCGCAGATATGCTCTTGTAAGGTGGGTCTTCTCTCAAGATCAGCCGAATCAGAATTTTTAAATTCAACTTTTTCAACAGAGTAAGAAAATTTCTGATTTGTCTCTTTAGCATCCGTCGCTTCCATTTCCTCGTCCAAACTCTGTGGCCCGATAAAAATCACATGGTCTGAAAACTGGACAAGTTTGTTTCCTTGTTCAACGTGTTGCAAAGCAGGGCTCCCCGTGGCATTCTTGCTGGGATTTGGTGATGTCACGTCTGAAAACGGTGATTCTGGTATCACAACAGGAGTAACAGAAACCTCTGCATTGCAGGCGTTTTGATTTTTTGAGGCTTTGAATACACTTACAGATTCTTGGTCATTCAACTGGTCAGTTCCAGACATGCAATTAGCATTCACTCCCGACGTAGTTGGGTGACTCAGATACCATTCCGATTCCTGACAGTTTCTCAGTTTCTTTTGGAATAATGAAACAGGAATGGAATCGATAATTTTAAAAATTTCATCATCAATGCTAACAGTCCCTGGACATTTTTGAAGTTCAGGATTAGTGAATACAGACTTTTTTTCAGTTGTATTAGAATCAGCTGCTTTCTCTTCTTGGATCTTGGAACCTGAGCGAAAATTTTTCGCACATTCATTGTTTGGAAGTAACTCGTTAGTTCTGCATGAAACACTCTCCGTAGATCCCAGATGTTCACGCTCAGCATCTTTTCCAGAACGTGGTACCTCAACAAACGCCTCAGATTCAATGTTCTTTCTCTGTAAGAAATTGCTGGCCGATGACATCGGCATTATGACCTGAGCATCAACTAATTTGCTCTTTTCTAAGTCGGAAGTAGATGTCAAGGCTTGCAAATCCTTTTTTAATGAACTAGGCTTGGAGAGCTTCCCTCTACGCAAGACACTTATCTCTGCAGGTTTAATGAATTCATCCCAAGTTTCATCAGACTTATTCTGCTGAAGTGTTGAGAAATTCTTCTGGTCACATTCCAAAGCTAGTTCGTTTGCAGGGAAGTTTTCAGCCGTTCCATCTGCATCAAAATTACCTTTATTTTTGCCTGCTGTTTTCAACAAACCCATTTCCATTTCTTTGCCATCACAGCTAGTATAACCAATGCTTTCTTGTGATAATCTATTCACATCTCTGGCGTTATTATTAATCACGACTCCAGTCTTACTAGGAACTTGTGACACCTGAGCATTTTTATCTCGGCTTTCAGTTTCAGTACCATCTGTAACATTGCAAGTAACAGTGTCGCTAGATCTGTCACACTTGTTGTTAGAAGTGATGTTGCAGTCACTACCGCTTACGCCTTGGTTATCAACTGACGCATCGAATGACTGGCATACATCCTGACTGTTAAAGAGAAAGCTGTATCCCTCGGCAGAGCTGATTTGGTTTACCAACTCCAAGATTTCTAATTCCTCAGAGACTTTGTCATTTGCTTTTGAAGAACATCTGGAACGTCTTCGCTGGCCAGACTTTATCTGACGGTCCTTGCTGGCAAGCGGCAGCCCAAATTTCGGATCTGGCGTATTCTGCAATTTCTTTCTGCTTCTTGAGGTTTTGTGATTATCAGAATTTTTACTGTAAACCTTTGAACAGCTTCCTGATTCGACTTGTTCTTTTACAATTTTACAGACATCCAAGACCATTCCATCTGATTCCATGACTTTTAAAGAATTTCCTGAAGATTTCTTATCTGCAAGATTGTTCTTATCAGAAAATAGACTCTGTTTTGGATTTTTCAGCACTCCAGCTTCCTTTTCTTTCTCACTCATTTTGGAATCGTGTGTGGTTAAATGTTCTTCAGATTTTTCCTGTGGG